AAAAAAACGATGGCACTAGCCTTTTAGCAAAGCAAAGGGCGTGGATAGAGGTGACGTAGGAATTCAATTCGATTTCCACAGGATACTGCCGCACCATGGAAAGTTTGCAACAAAATTATAAAAACTTAACTTATTGTTTAATGTGAATAAATTGAGCCGAAGTACCAAACTCTTTGAGCATTCTAACCGCGTTTTAAGCTTGTCTAAAAGGAAAATAACGCTTTCCTTTTGCAAGCGAGATCTCCTGTGGAATGCTTTATCTCGCAGAGCATTTTAATGATCGCTTCGCTCCGCTGTTGATCTATTATAGAAATCTGAGTTGACGTAATCAATGATCGTCAGAATGCACCAGTTCGTCCATCTTTTCATTTATTTATTTATTTTTATAATTTTATTTGTGTTTCTAGTTTTCGGCAGAACTGATACAAACTTAACCATTTAACCCTCAAAATTTTGGGTTAACTATTTAAGTTTTCATCTCTGAGTTAATGCCTAACCTACTGTTGTGAAAGCCAATTTATCAATTTAACCGGTAAACTTCGAGTTAAATAGATAACCTGCTGTTCTGCAAGTGGGCCTAAGTAGAGCTATAAATTAGCTATAATTGGTTACATTTAGTGGTATTCAAGCTTTGTGGGCAACAAAAATGTTCAATTTAGAGTTTGTGGGCTGAGAATAAGGTTGCCTGTGTTTTGCGAGGTTTTCGATGTTTGAAAAGAAGCAGTCAACGAAGATGCAACCAAGTGCTGTTTTAAACATTTTGCTGTAAAATATTATTAAAGGCAGCACATCCGAAAAATATAACAACTACATAAAGGAAATAGCAAGAATGATATGCAAGTAGGTAGGTTAAAAATTCATTCTTGCATTTTTTGTTTAAACATGTACCTTAATTATACCCGAGCGAACTTGTGCACAAGGGTATTATAACTTTGTTCACATAACGGTTGTTTATAACAGCCAAAATTAATCGAGATTGATATAGGCAAATGTATACATAAATGATCAGAATGAAAAATGAAACCGATTAAGCGGTGACTGTCTGTCCGTCCGTCCGACTGTGCACACGATAACTCGAGTAAAAAATGAGATATCTTAACGAAACTTGGTATGTGTACTTCCTATCAGCATACAACGGATGGTGTTGAAAATTGGCAAAATCAGACAATAACCACGCCTGCCTCCCATATAACAGAATAGGAAAACCTATCTAGGCGTGATCTAGGCCCTAAGTAAGGTTGCATTTTTATTGGCGTTTGCACATACACTCCAGTCAGATTTTCCCCACAATATCCCGAATAAAAACTATTTATGTTTCATTATTATTAGAAGCTTGATTTATTACCAAAATATTGTTTGAAAAAATATAGAGCGTGTGTGTGAGAGAGAAATAAACAAAACAAGTTTGTTGATGCATTTTATTCGTCAAGATAAAAGTGCATGTTACATTTGCGGTACACAAAAAACAAATTTAAAAAAAAAAACAGTTCCCATCGCTGTGGAGAAGAGGCTAGGGATGGGTAGTGGGGAGTTGAAAATTTCAGAGTTTCGAACACTGCCCAACCCTTCGATTATTCGATTCGAAATTTGGTGGTGCAAACTCTATTTAATTCGAATTTTCAACACAGCTACACAAAATTTAAAGGGTTGTTTGTAAGAATAATAACTCAAATCGAAAAAGAGATTCAATGGAACTTATAGCTCAGTTAGTCTTGACTTAACTTATCTTACTTAAGAAATCGTCACGTTTTCGTTTTAGTTTCTAATCTGTAGTATTACGACAATTTTTGTATTCTAGTCTGTAAGGTTTTTGTAACCATAGACTTAAATAAATGAAATGAAATGAAATGAAACGAAATGAAATACTCAACACGTCAACTTAGCCAGAGTAAGTTTCTACCGGCTAAAAATCGTTGATATTTGAGAATTTTTTTTGGAGACTGCGTTTGCTTTTTTCTTTTTATATAACTACACCCAGTAATGAGAAAACGTAAATTATAATGAGAAAACGTGAATTTATGATGATAAAACGTAAATTGTATTGAGAAAACCTGTCTTAGTATTGAGAAAATATTAATTATATTAAGAATGATTAAATTAATAATTAGAAAACGTAAAAAAGAATGAATAAAAGTAAACTGAGAACGAGAAAACATAAATTTACAATGAGCAGTCGAGCGTTTATAATGAGAAAACGTAAAATAGGTTTACTTCGTAGTTGTTTTCCTTTAGCAGATGTTTTCATTGTGCCTAACAATACATAAACTATGTACATGCGTAGGTATGTACATATGCATGTAAAAATGCAGTCTTAATATTCCCTGCAGTGCGCAAGTGTAAATAAAGTTACTAGTTCAGAGATAGTATCTAACAGGACAAAACTTGGACTGGTTGCTTTGTTATGCGATGATGGACACTGGATACTTAAAAAATTCCGATTTCTGCTGGCAGACGAAGTGTAAAAAATTCGAATCTAACTTCCATTCGTTTATCTCTGCAAACATCAACGTGCGCGCACAATGTACTGCTTTAGCTCCTATCCCTTTTTTTAGCTCTTTTCAAAATTACCTAGCACTTTTTAGCTCCAGAAAGTTTTAGTTGTATTTGGTAACAAATTAAAATTACAAATCTGTAATATCATTGCATAAGTATTGACTAGAATTTATTTGGCTTTGGTGAACTCAGCCTATTTTCGATACCTTCATGTATCATATTCTATTTCGCATAAACCATACCGGACAGTAGTTCGAGCTCCGATAAGCCCAGTCGGTGTATTTTATCTCAGGCGGAGACGGTAAAAAAGGAAAGTTAAGACTTAAGCGTTGATAAAATTACAAATTTCGAAATACAGTGGAAAAACATAGACTTTTATCCACGGGAAAATACAGACTCTACCATAAACTTTGGGATCTAGATTAAAGAATACAAAAATTAATTAGAAGAAAATCCTTTTTCTGATCACGTGGATTTTGTTTTTAGCTTAATAATTTTACCTTTAATAAGGGAAGGAAAGAAAATTTTTCAGAAAAATTTTGCAAACAAACGATTCGTAACCTGAGTTTTTATGGTCAATTCATATATCTGAAATTGCAGATCTTAATAGTTTGTAAAGTATTTTTAGTTCATTACCTAGTTTATATAAGTATGTGCATACATATAAGTGTTTTAAGTGCCACAGATACGAATTCAAAGTATATGCACCTAATTTTGGTTTAAAAGTTTTTTTCAGCACTTTAATGTATTCGTTGTTTTTACTAAAATTACGAAAAATATAAAAACTTCACTACTTGTACTTCAATAAAAGCTCAAATCTTTTCAAATATTGCAGCCAATTTCACGGAAGCCATTTAAGTAAAAAATGATGTTAAGTTTTTGAATGTTATATGGAAATTGACAGAAAATACGAAATCACTTTTCATTTAAATTGCTGGTGAAACTGGCGGTTGTACTATTTAGCTCTTTTTAGTTCCAAACAAAATGATTTTCTGGCAACACTGATCCGTAAACGGCTCGGCTACAACACGCGGCAGCTAACGAGATTTTTCGTTTAGTTAGTTTTCGGCATCTTTAAAGTGGCGTCATTAGCAGAAAAGTGACAAAGAGATTTGTTTGTGGAATTATCAAAAGAAAAGAAGTAATTATTTAAATATTTTAATGCAAAATGAGTAAGCGGACTGTCAAGATGCATATAAAAAGACAGAAGGAAATTTATTTAAACAGATTGAGGGGTGAAAGTAATGCAGTGTTAGAAGCCGCAAAGGTGGCAGCGCAGCCGGCAATTGCCAGTGAGCCTGCAACAGAGGCACTTTTTTTTTTAGTGAGGAAAACGAATGTGAAGAGGAGAAAGTGCAAAGAAGTTAACTTTTGAAGAAAAAATAGTGCAGTGGTATATTCGAAATAAGCCGCCCCGCGAAATTCTAAGTCTTTGATTTCAAGCCAGAAGGCCATTATCGAAAAAGTTGCATCCGACTTTTATTGTCATAGCTAATGTTTTAATAAATTATGATTCAATATCAGTGGATATTAATATAGATTGCCTTCCCTTATTCAGAAGTTCCCGTGCTCAACTATGGCCAATGATGTTGAGAATAGCAAACGTCGACAATATTTCGGCTTTTCCTGTTGGAATTTATTTGGGGGGCAAAGAATCCGGTTACCATAGAAAGCTACTTACCAGTATTTTTGGAAGAAATGAGAAATATTTTAGAAAATGGAATAGAGTTACTAGCAAAGGTGATTAAAGTTAGGATACGGTCGATTGTATGCGATGCCCCCGCAAAGGCACTTATTTGTGGCACTTCAGGTCATACATCAGCATCTGGATGTGAGAAATGTATTCAAGTTGGGCGTAAAATAGACACGGTACACGGTAGAAAGCGCGGAGTTAATTTCTGATGAAGAAAGTATTTTATGCATCATTTGCCACTTTATCAGAACAAAAATACACCTTTAGAAATTATTGGAATAAGAATGATTAGCCAGGTAGCCTTAGACATCATACACCTAATCGATTTAGGGATAATGCGAAAATTTCTTCTGCGAATTTTGTAAGATAAAATAAACAACAAGGTAGCAAAAGAGAACAAAATCAAAATTTCGAATAGCTTAAAGTTTTCGAAGCACCATATTTGCCAGGAATTCGAAAGGGAACCAAGAGGGTTGAAGATATTTTACATTGGAAGGCCACCGAATTTCGCCAATTTCTCCTCTATACTGGTGTCTACGTTCTCAAAGATTATGTTTCAGCTGATATTTACTAGGCGTTTCTACTTCTGCATTGCGCTTGTAGGTTATTGTTTTGCCCAAAAAGTTACTTAAAAATATTAATATCGCAGAAAACATATTATCACAGTTCGTTCAAAACTTCCCTCTCATATTTGGAGAAAAAAGTGTCACCTACAACGAGCACAACTTATTGCAGTTTCCCCTGAAATTCAAACAATTTACAAAAACATATAACACTTTTTAGTCATCTCACGCACACACTTAAAATCTGTCGAAAAAAAATTACTTAAGTTAGAGCAGCGTAGCTAATAAGAATTCGTACTCTTAATAAGAATTCCATGCGTTAGAGCGAGCAAGTGAAGGTCAGGCGAAATTTGACAGCGAATTTGAAGTTTGATCATAGTAGGCTGCGAAGAAAAGCGTCACTTTTGTGGAAATTTTTGGAGGTAAGAATACTTTGTAAACAATTTTATTTGATAAAAATATAATTTTGTGTTTTTGATTGCGCACCTTCAACGACATGAACAGCTTGGACACACACAGCACTTTTGGAGGTAAGAATACTTTGTTAACAATTTTATTTGATAATAATATAATTTATTATTTTTGATTGCGCACCTTCAACGCCAACAACACCTTGGACGCACAAAGCACTTTTGGAGGTAAGAATACTTTGTTAACAATTTTATTAAAAATATAGTTTTTTCTTTTTGATTGCGCACCTTCAACGTTATCAACACCTTGGACGCACACAAAACTTTCCACGGCATCAGAATCTTGACGCCATCAGAACTTTCAACCCATCAGCACCTTCCACGGCACCAATAGTTTAATATTCAGCTACCAACATTGTTCGGTGAGTTTTATTCTTTAAATATATATTAAGAAACACGGTTGTTCAGCCGCGAATAAATATGTACCTACTTGTGGTCATATCGTCGGTGATACTGCAAAACTTTCCTAATGACGAAAATATCTTCCTTTGGCTGATGTCGATGAACGTTTTGCAGTATCACTGACGACTTGTATCTGTGTAAGCAATAACAAAAAAGTGCAATAGAATGCCAGCCTTTGGCTGTCTTACAAAGTGTAGTGCAAGTGCACTTGACGAAGTGGAGCTGCAAATACCTACATGTGTACACATGGACGTATATAAACAAAAATTATAAGTGTATTTAAAGAATGCAGTAGAATGCTCCAGCTGCAACTACCTAAATGTGTACATATGTAGGTAAAAAGAAGAAAGTGCAGTGCAAATATATACATATGTACATATGAATGTTAAAACTGCAGTAGAATGCTCCCGATGTACCTAGTTGTACATATCACACACGATCTGCAAAAGTGACAACTCAAAATTTGGAATTTTTAAATTATAATATTAACAAGTAAGAAAGTCAAAGTTCGGGCGGAGCCGAACATTAAGTACCCGGCGCAAGTATTAAATATATGTTTTTTCACCTTTTCGAAACCTACCGCTAGATGGCAAGCCGGGGTGCATCAATTTTGAGTAAACTAGCGTCCTTCAATTTCGAAATATTGAAGTTTCAAGCATTTCTCAAATTTACCTTTATATGAAAAGCTGCCGCAATTTTACTCCGATTTCAATAATTTTCAACGTATTGCTTTTATGTGGCAAGCACAATAACCGTACCGAGTTAGGTACAAATTGGTGGAACGGTTACCGATACACATATATGTGATCATAAGTGGGCGGTGCCACGCCCATTTTCCAAAATTTTACCATAAACGTATTTCTTGGTAAAGAATTGTTGCAAGCATCAGTTTTGAATAAATTAGCTTCAATATTTACTGATTTATCGAAGATTTTGTATTTCTCTAAATTACCGATATATGGGATGTTCGGCTGTTTTGTATGCTGTACCAAGGCCAACAACTGTGCCAAGTTTGGAAGAAATTGGTGCAGCGGTTACCAAGATATACACATGTAACCATAAGTGGGCGTGGCTATGCCCATTTTCCAAAAATTTATAATATTCTTATTTTTCGTCTAAAAATTATTGTAAATATCAATTTTGAGTGAATTGTCTTCAGTAGTTACTAAAATATCGCAGTTTTCGTATTTCTGGAAATTACCGTTATATGGGAAGTGGGCGTGGCTACAGTCCGATTTCGCCCATTTTCAATACCAACCTACCTTGGATTAGCGGTAACCTACATACCTAATTTCGTTGAGATATCTCACGAGTTATCGTGTACACGGACGGACGGACAGACGGACAGACGGACGGACAGACAGACATGGCTTAATCGATTTCTTTTTTCATCCTGATCATTTATGTATACATTTGTCTATATCTATCTCGATTAGTTTTGGCTGTTACAAACAACCGTTATGTGAACTAAATTAATATACCCTTGTGCACAAGTGCGCTCGGGTATAAAAATAGTGCACTAAAAATGTACACAGAGCTTTTACTCACCTTTCAGCAAAATCTGGAAAAAAAAAATTTATAATTTGTTGGAAAAACCTAAGGTAAAGTCTCCTTGCCCATATGACTAACATGCACTAAGAAATAGTTTTTTCGCATTTTCTGACGAGTAATTTTGAGTTGTGTCATCTTTGAAGATCGTGTCCGATATGTAAACAACAAAAAGTGCGGTGAAACATGTGAAAAGTGCAGTAGAATGTCTGTTCTAAGCGCAATTTACTTACTAATACTTAATTTTTGCAAACTGAGTTATTTGTACATTGTGTAAATTATCATTCGAAGGTTGTGTACTCAAGAACTGATGCGTTTTGAAAAACAGTCATTTTCGGTCAATAGCAATATTTGCACCCGCTGCATTTGCATCAGTTGTCCTAGTTGCATCGACCAAATGCTGGCTGGGTACCTAACTGTGTACATATGTATATGTGGGAACAGTTGCAACTGCATAAATATGTAGAATTTGTATGCATTTAAACAAAAGAAAGTGAAGTATAAGTACATTTGTACAAAGTGCAGCTGCAACCATGCAACTACCTGTGTACATATGTATTTAGGTAAAAATAAGAAAGTGCAGTAGAAATATATATATATATATNTCTCCTTTATCTACCTCCTGCCGTTTGTTTATCACAGATAAGGCAACGGGTGATAGGTTCCTTATTGATACCGGGTCAGACATATCCGTTTATCCATATCGAGGTCCGAGCAAGCAACTCGTTCCACTCTCCTATCAATTATTCGCCGCCAACGGTACTCCAATCAACACTTACGGCACGAAAATGCTAATCCTCAATCTTGGACTACGTAGAGATCTTCCATGGCGTTTCGTCATTGCTGATGTCACCCGTCCTATCATCGGTGCTGATTTACTTAGCCATTTTGGGTTGCTGGTGGATTTGAAGCGAAAGAGTTTAACTGACGGACTCACCGGCATCTCAACAGCTGGGAAAATGTTTAAGTATGGCGTAGCTTCAATTAAAGCCCTGCACCCAGAGGTAGACCCAGCCTATAATGGACTTTTTCATAAATTTCAATCTGTTATTCAACCAGGCGGTGCTCATCGTACGAGCGAGTTCGCTACCGAACACCATATTAAAACGACAAATGGACCGCCAGTCTCCAGCAAAGCCAGACGACTGGCTCCCGATAAATTAAACATAGCCAAACAGCAGTTTGAAAAACTAATTAAACTAGGTCTAGCCAGAAGAAGCGATAGCCCATGGTCATCACCATTACATTTAGTGCCTAAAAAGTCTGGTGAATGGCGCCTTTGCGGGGACTATAAACGCCTGAACGACCGTACAATTCCAGATAAATATCCCGTTCGCTACCTGGATGATTTCGCAGCAAATCTGTATGGTAAAAAAATATTTTCTACGATCGACTTAGTGCGCGCTTTCAACCAAATCCCTGTGGCACCAGGTGACATTGCGAAAACGGCAATTATAACACCATTTGGACTTTACGAGTTCCCTTTCATGACGTTTGGTTTGCGCAACGCCGCGCAAACATTCCAACGTTTCATGGACGAGGTAACGAGGGACTTACCATTCGCATTCGTTTACATTGACGACATACTCGTGGCATCAGAAAATCAACAGCAGCATATAGCACACCTTGAAGTTTTGTTTCAGCGTCTACAAAGTGCTGGCCTTGTAATCAACGCAGCTAAATCAATTTTTGGTAAGAGCGAAGTCGCGTTTCTAGGCCACCTGGTATCTTCTTGTGGAATGGCACCTCTCGCTGAGAGGGTTTCTGCGATTAAAGATTTTCCTAAGCCGTCAACAATCAAAAAACTTCGCGGATTTTTGGGTACTATTAATTTCTACCGTAAGTTTATTAAAAATGCAGCAAAGCTTCTAGGTCCTCTCAATAAGATTCTGGAAGGCCCTGATGTGAAAAGTTCTCATGCGGTTCAATGGACACCTGAGCTGGAAACAAGCTTTAATGAGTGCAAACAAGCTCTCGTAAGCTCTACACTTCTAGCACACCCTAATGTAAACGCCGAATGGGCGATATTCACGGATGCCTCCGAATATGCTATAGGGGCAGTATTGCAACAACGATGTGACAACGATTGGCAACCGCTTGCATTTTTTAGCAAAAAACTCTCTTCATCTACAACAAAAAAGTCGACATACGATCGTGAGCTGGATGCTGTGTACGAAGCAATTCAGCACTTCAAGTATATTTTTGAGGGAAGACACGTCGTAATATATACCGACCATAAACCCCTCATTCATGCTTTTCAGCAGCGTCCTGAGCGCCCTTCTCCGTGGCAATTTCGGAGACTAGATTTTATTAGTCAGTTCACGACTGATTTTAGGCATGTGTCAGGCACTGAAAATATTGTTGCTGATACATTATCGCGGGTCGATGAAATCTCAGCTGCTGTTACGATGACAGAGCTGTTTAATGCACAGGTAGCAGACGCCGAGCTGCAGCAACTTCTACGCAACGCATCATCATCATTACATTTACGCCAACTTCATTTTAACGACAACGAAATCAAATTGTACTGTGACGTTTCGTCAGGTACAGTGAGACCATACGTCCCAAAAGACCTGCGATTTAGAATTTTCAATGCACTTCACTCGCTTTCTCATCCCGGCCAACGTGCGTCGCGGAAATTGGTCGCTCAAAGGTATGTGTGGCCGTCAATGAATAAAGATATTGCNTAAACACATGCGGTGCAACATATGTGATATTTTGACTGTTTTTTAAAGCGCATCAATATAAAGCACCCTTTTCGTTTATTTTTAAATGCCAGAAGATAAAGTTATGCAATTTAAGTTTTAATTTGGCGGGTCATGGCGCTATTTTGGAGTTGATGCTATTTGGAACCCGTTACCTTAATTCACAAAGGCCCTAACCAGCAAATTTTCTATTTTACAGGGGAAGAAAAAACCATTATAAAAAAAAAACAAAAACTGACGATAAGCCTTTTAAAAATGTGGCATAACTCCCTTGGTTTTGATACTAACCCATTCAAATTTTTAGAGGTGTATTTTAATATATCATACTTAAATCTGTGAAAAACGCAGTTCTGTTGGTTGGGGCCTTTGTGAATTAACGTAACGATGTGTACATACATTTTAACAGTATTTGGGCCCTTAAAGTAGTAAAATAAATTTTAAAGGCACGATAACGTTATTTTCCTCTGCGTGCAATTATAGGAGGCATTGCTACTATATATATATGCTGCCCAGCGAAAGCTATTATTTTCTGCTAGCTTCGCTTTATATACTTTTACCTATGTAAAAGCTTTAAAAAACTAAAATTTCTTATTATACTTCATTTAGGATTTCAACATTTATACTTATATACTAATCTTACTACTTTACTTACTATATACTAATCCTACTTTACTTACTATATACTTACGGTGACCATCCGTTCTGATTTTTGCAGGACCGTACTGTTTTTCAAAGGTCGGTCCTGCGTAGTTTTTCAAACCTGAAAAACCTGAAAATGTACTGATTTTTTCCAGGTGTCCTGCATTTGTCCCGCATTTTAATCGTTATTTTAAAATTATCGGACAACGGATGGGTTTTCTCAAAAAAGTGTTTTTAGGCACTTTTCGTAGCTTTTCTTCAATATCTCATGAAAAAATCTCCCAATCAACGTAAGCGACTTACAGCTCGAAAGGTATTAATATGCCTCTTACCAAAATGTATAACTTGTGGCGACTTCAATGAAAATTATTAGTGCTACAGGCGACCATTTGCATTTTGTCATCAAAGTCGAAAAAAGTGAGATTTTTAATCAAATATGCAGTTTTATTCGATAATTTTTTTCATTAGTTTAAAAACTCGATAAATCATTACAGTAAATTTTGAGCCAAAGATAATGAAAATCGGATTAGAAATGCAGATGCTATGCAGCGCAATCTGCACAATTTATATATTTTTGTAAAGGGCACATAACTACCTTTGTAACTCGTTGTTTACGTCGATTCATGACGTCGATTTTTGATAAATAACTGCGAAAAGTACCAAAAAACAAAAAAAGGGTATTGTTTTCATTTTGAACGACTCAAAATTTGCCTATAAAATAATCTTTTAAAGATTTTCACTTTTCGTGTAAGTTTTTGTTATTATAATATGTTTTACTATACTTTTATAAATATTCATGTAATATCGATGAAGAAAACCTGATTCAAAGCTCAAAATGTATTAAGAATTTTGAATCATAGATACTCTTTTGATATTTTTATACTACGTTAATATATGTAGGCATATTTTTGAAAATTGTCCTTCATTTTGAATCCATATATTATGGTCATCGTAGATATACTAATCCTACTTTATGTTTATTGTAAATAATTATTCGGTAACGCATGGCGCATGACATTTAAATAACTTTTACAATTTTAGCAACTATTAAAAATAAGTTGAATAAGTGCTCGAATGCTTTTTAAATGCGTCATTAATATATAAAATACATCTTTTTATTTTAGTCCTCAGCGTGGATTTGCGTGCTGTTCTCGTTAAAAAGGTAAGTTAAATAAGTTATAGGAGATAGACATACGTACACATATATTACTATATTACTTACGTATATATTACATAAAATATCGTGTCATACCATACAAATATGAATAAGAAGACATTTGCTAACCTTTTGAGCAAAGAAAAGGCGGAGTTTGAAGCTACGGTGGCAAAATTTTGCAGATTAAATGAATCTGAGCAAGAGGTTTCAAATGGATCTAGTATTAATTCAAGTATAGTAGATCTAGGTATATACGATGATGTTCCTTGTACTAGTAGAGCCGTAACTAGTGATAGTAACAGCGATGTTCGGTATTTTTTTGAAGATGATTTTTCTAGTGAAGAGGAAATTGAACATGAAAGTCCTAAAGATAAATGTCTGGAGTTAAAGGCGTGGGCTATTAGGAATAACGTATCTCATAACACTGCCACTGATTTATTGCAAACTTTGAATAAAGTCGATATTAAATGTTTCCCCTTCTCTGCAAAAACTCTCCTTGGAACAAACAGAGAAAAAGTTGATATTGACAATATAGCAGGTGGAGAGTTTTTGTATATCGGTATTGAAAGTAATTTTAATTCACCTGCGTTTGATTTCTTAGAAGCGAGCGAGCGAGTAGAAATCGACGTAGGAATTGATGGCCTCATGCTTCGTAATTCTTCTAAAAATTGTGTATGGTCCATTTTGGGCTCATTGGTAAGTTATCCAAAGATCAGTCCGTTTGTAATTGCATGTTTTCAAGGAAAAAGCAAACCTAGTAATCCCGAAGATTTTCTTACAAAATTTTGTGATGAGGTCTTAATTTTAAAAGCTAATGGATTAAAAGTAGGTAGAAATCAGGTAATAAAGCACTTTAGTGTGAGATCCTTTACCTGTGATTCCCCAGCCCGCGCCTTTGTTAGTGGAGTTATATCCCACACAGGGAAAAATAGTTGTCCGAAGTGCCTATGTTCCAGCCAATACATAAATAGAAGAATTAGTTTTTCAGTAAATGGCGGATTAACTCGTTCAGATGAAACTTTTAAGAATAGAAGGGACAAGAAGCATCATCGTCCTGAGTATAGAGAGCGGGAGAGTTTTTAGAATCTGCAAATGTCGGCATGGTTTCTCAGTTTCCTATGGAACCAATGCACTGAATAGATTTGGATGTAATGAAAAAATTATTGAAATTGATAATTCCTAAAGGAAATCTTGTATTAATGAACGAACGATTGCGATCTCTCGCAAAATCGGTTCCCTCGGAATTTTGTAGAATTTCAAGAGATTTCGATGACGTAAATAATTAGAAATCTATAGAATTCCGGCAGTTTTTATTGTATACAGGCATATTTGATTTAAAAGATTGTGTTCGCGACGACCTGTACTACCATTTTCTTTTGCTTCTGGGAATTCGGCTTCTCTCTTGAGAGAGGTCAAATGATATAAATATAGCTCAAGAAATGTTAAAAGAATTCGTTAAATTATTTGTTCAATTATATGGTAATCATTTAATTAGTTTTAATGTTCATGATTTGCTTCATTTAGTTGATTGCGTTAAACAGTTTGGACCATTAAATAGCTTTTCCGCTTATAAATTAGAAAATTATATGCAAACTTTAAAAAAAAAATCTTAAGAAAATCAGACAAAGTATTGCAACAACTGAAAACCCGATATTTAGAAGGAAAAAATTTGGTTGCAGATCCTGATAAAGTCTCCAAATTTGGCTCATTTATATAAATTTATAAAGAGGATAAAGATAGTTTTTGCTACAGTGACAAAACGGTGCCCATAAAAATTATCGGGGAACATGTTGAATCCGATGTTTTTATAGCTCTCGTTTTAACTGACAGAAAATTATTTTGAACAACCAGTAGATTCTTCAACTTGTTTAGGTCTTAATTTAGCAAATTTTTCCGATAAAGAGGTATTTATAAGTAGAAATGATATTAAATATATGTAAGTATTTTTGCACACCTTATAATAACAAATTATTATTAGTGCCTTTATTACACCAATTATTTAATGATTTTCATTAGTGTGTTGTTCGAAGAAATTATCGAAGAAATTTGTGAATCGGAGGTGGAATGCTCGCAAGGCGAGCGAAGTGTTAATAAGCGGCGCTTCGACATAACTTGCGCCCCACAAGTTAGAGAGTCGCCAAGTGGCCTGGACACCCACGCAGGTAAAAAGTATTGAATTTTAATTCTACTTTAATTTGCATGTTTTTTTCTATGTACCCATAAGTTCTTGAACGCCTTGGAAAGATGGAAACAAGCTTTTTGACTGCCTTCAAAAGCGTGGAAGTCCGTCTCACTGCCGTTGAGAAAGCCCTCCATGAAAAAGTAAATTTTTGAACGTGTCATTTAAAAAAAGTATATATATTAATAAAGTTTTTTACTTCATAGATGCCGGAAAAGGCCGAGGTTCAGGCGCAGAGTAAAATCCTGCGCGAATCGAAGGTTGTTGCTGCCAGGACCCATAACTGCATCAATCGCGTCACTGGTGACATGGAGGACGAGGAGTATATAGAGCTGTCCTCAAAATTTCCATTGTCATCGGAGGAGGAGTTACTGGCCGTGGAGACGAAACTCCAGAATAAGGCCAGTGTTGAAGCTATGGTAATACATATGTACTTTTACATTTGCAACTTTGTGGTTGCATTAAATTCATTATTTAACATAAAGCTATCTCTTTAAAAACTTTTTGTTGATGCGGTTGCTGATAAAGGCCAAGGGTTTCAAAGGCGGTGTTGACGGAGTTTTGCGTGCGCTGCTTAGGGACGACCTAGTGGCCAATTTCAATTTGGAGGGGCGCAAGAATAAAAAAGCGCTGCTGAAATTGAAATGCATGGACATTATCTTCGGTGAATATTATACATAGTGTTGAAAATTCTTAATTAATTCATATACTTTCAGATGTCTTTGCAGATCAAAGGAAGGAAGATTTAGTGGCAGATATTAGAAAATATGTGGCCCTGAGCCACAATAGGTTTAAGCAAAAAAAAAACATATAGGCTAGAGTAAGATAGTATTAGTTTTAAATATTAAAAGTATGATTTAAGTAATTAATATAAGCCATGTATAGTTAGCACTTAAGGAATAGTTAAAATAATCTTTACTTCTTTTATATTATTGTAAGTGTACATATTACTGTCGAGGACATGAGCCACAACCTTATCGAGTTAAAACAAAAAAAAAACATATGTACATTTTTTGAGATAGCGTAGTTGTATAAATTGCGGGCGGCTGGCAGCATTGTAACACCATTGTGAATTAATTTGAAGTAAATTTGTTGTTATTGCAATCAAATAAAACACCTCTTTGAGGTAAAATTTTTGAGGGACGAAAGCTGAACTAGAAACACAAAATTTATGATATCAATTTCGTGACGAAAATTATACGCATTTTTTA